GATTTATTACAAGTAAAACTGATTTTATTTGAAATATTAATAAAATAATTAAGTTTTTCTTCATTCTTTATAAACAAAATTAAGTTTACTTGTTCGAAAGTAAATTATGAAGTGTTTAGAGATACTTCGTTGCAGATTGAGTTACATTTCTGTTCTAGTTCAGTTCTAGTTCAGTTCTAGTTCAGTTCTAGTTCAGTTCTAGTTCAGTTCTAGTTCAGTTCTAGTTCAGTTCTAGTTCAGTTCTAGTTCAGTTCTAGATCAGTTCTAGTTCAGTTCTAGTTCAGTTCTAGTTCAGTTCTAGTTCAGTTCTAGTTCAGTTCTAGTTCAGCTCTAGTTCAGTTCTAGTTCAGTTCTAGTTCAGTTCTAGTTCTAGTTCAGTTCTAGTTCTAGTTCTAGTTCAGTTCTAGTTCTAGTTCAGTTCTAGTTCAGTTCTAGTTCAGTTCTAGTTCAGTTCTAGTTCAGTTCTAGTTCTAGTTCTAGTTCAGTTCTAGTTCTAGTTCTAGTCAGTTCTAGTTCAGTTCTAGTTCAGTTCTAGTTCAGTTCTAGTTCAGTTCTAGTTCAGTTCTAGTTCAGTTCTAGTTCAGTTCTAGTTCAGTTCTAGTTCAGTTCTAGTTCAGTTCTAGTTCAGTTCTAGTTCAGTTCTAGTTCAGTTCTAGTTCAGTTCTAGTTCAGTTCTAGTTCAGTTCTAGTTCAGTTCTAGTTCAGTTCTAGTTCAGTTCTAGTTCAGTTCTAGTTCAGTTCTAGTTCAGTTCTAGTTCAGTTCTAGTTTCAGTTCTAGTTCAGTTCTAGTTCAGTTCTAGTTCAGTCTAGTTCAGTTCTAGTTCAGTTCTAGTTCAGTTCTAGTTCAGTTCTAGTTCAGTTCTAGTTTAGTTCTAGTTTAGTTCTAGTTCAGTTCTAGTTCAGTTCAGTTCTAGTTCAGCTCTAGTTCAGTTCTAGTTCAGTTCTAGTTCAGTTCTAGTTCAGTTCTAGTTCAGTTCTAGGTCAGTTCTAGTTCAGTTCTAGTTCAGTTCTAATTCAGTTCTAGTTCAGTTCTAGTTCAGTTCTAGTTCAGTTCTAGTTCAGTTCAAGTTCAGTTCTAGTTCAGTTCTAGTTCAGTTCTAGTTCAGTTCTAGTTCAGTTCTAGTTCAGTTCTAGTTCAGTTCTAGTTCAGTTCTAGTTCAGTTCTAGTTCAGTTCTAGTTCAGTTCTAGTTCAGTTCTAGTTCAGTTCTAGTTCAGTTCTAGTTCAGTTCTAGTTCAGTTCTAGTTCAGTTCTAGTTCAGTTCTAGTTCAGTTCTAGTTCAGTTCTAGTTCAGTTCTAGTTCAGTTCTAGTTCAGTTCTAGTTCAGTTCTAGTTCAGTTCTAGTTCAGTTCTAGTTCAGTTCTAGTTCAGTTCTAGTTCAGTTCTAGTTCAGTTCTAGTTCAGTTCTAGTTCAGTTCTAGTTCAGTTCTAGTTTGGTTCTAGTATTATTTTATTTTTTAAATAAAATTTTTAGTCTCTGGTTTTATTATAAAAAATTCTCTAACATTCCATTACCAACTCTTTAATTCACATTCGTTTAGATCATAAAACTATAAAACTGCAATAGAATCATTTGGTAGTTTCTCAGCACTAAATAGCTTGATTGCTGTGGTTTCTTTTTTATGGCTTTTTATTTATTAGAAACATAAATTTCCCAAATGCTATTATATGGTAATAACACAATTACTTAACACAAAGCAAAATCCATTTATAAAACCATACTTTCAGTATGTAAGTATAAACTGCTTATAATAACTAATAAAATAAAAGCAAACGTGAGCAGGCTGCTGCATAAAGTAAGAAAAGGTATTGTAACAGAAATCTGATTTAATAAGTAAAATGTAAATATATAGAAGCTTAAGCTATGAAAGAGAAGGTACACCAAAGAGAATTGTTAAAACATTTTGAAAATGTTTAGTAATTATCCAAACATTATAAAATTCTGTCTACTGAATCATATTATACTTTCATTTAAAATAAGTTTTTTGTAATTTCTGATACAATTAAGCTTATTCTACCATTAAATGACTTAAAGCATTATATATTTAACAATAACAAATTGTTATGATTTTCAGCTAAAAGATACCAAAAGAAATCCCAACAAATGCTAAAACAACAATAGCAACAACAATCATTACCAAACCGCAACAAAAACACTTTAAATAAAAGATAAAATGTACGTGTCAAATTTGAAAAAATCATTAAGGGATCATAAAACTTGTAAAACAAACCTAAGAGCTGTTACAACACACTCATTGCCACCCTGACATTTCTTCCGTGACGTATTTTTGGAGGTTGTACTCCAAAAGATGTGACCGATAATGTTTACTAATGACAGCTAAAACAACATAAAAAATTACTTGCTTCAAGCGTTTATGATTTTCTCTCTTTTTTTCTGTTATAAAACCGAATTTTGAACTTGTACTTTTCGTAAGTGTTAATGAAGATGTATTATAATGGGGGGACAAATTGATAAGAATTATGAATTTGTAGTTTAAATAGAGTTAGAGAATGAAACAATAAACAAATAATCTTATCATAAAAATAAATATTTCAAAAACTATATTAAATTGTTATTTAATATGATTTTTTGTCGTTCATTTTTGATTTGAAGCTAATGAACCTTTGTTAATGAATAAATCAAGGTGGCTATTTAGAAAGAATTTTTAAATATGTGTCAAGTTGAAGTGGAAATAAATTTTGGGTGGAAACAAAAAATTAAAATAAATAATGTTTTTAAAGTTGAAAATGTTGCAATATTTGGCATAAACAACATGAATAAAAAAAATCATTAATCTTCCAATATATATAAATGTATGTATTTCGTTGTTACAATGAAATTTACATAGACTTTTTACTAGAACTGAACTAGAACTGTACTAGAACTTAACTAGAACTGAACTAGAACTTAACTAGAACTGAACTAGAATTGAACTAGAATGAATTAGAAACATGAACTAGAATGGAACTAGAACTGAACTCGAACTGAACTGAACTAGAACTGAACTAGAACTGACAGAAACTGAAATAGAAAACTAGAACTGAACTAGAACTGAACTAGAATGAAATAGAACTGAACTAGAACTTGAACTAGAACTGAACTAGAACTGAACTAGAACTGAACTTACGAACTAGAACGAATAGAACTGAACTAGAAAAACTGAACTAGAACTGAACTAGAGAACTGAAAACTAGAACTAGAACTGAACTAGAACTGAAACTAGAGAACTGAACTAGAACTGAACTAGAACTGAACTAGAACTGAACTAGAACGGAAAAACTAGAACTAGAATGAACTAGAACTGAACTAGAACTGAACTAGAACTGAATGAACTGACTAGAACTGAACTAGAACTGAACTAGAACTGAACTAGAACTGAACTAGAACTGAACTAGAACTGAACTAGAACTGAACTAGAACTGAACTAGAACTGAACTAGAACTGAACTAGAACTGAACTAGAACTGAACTAGAACTGAACTAGAACTGAACTAGAACTGAACTAGACTGAACTAGAACTGAACTAGAACTGAACTAGAACTGAACTAGAACTGACTAGAACTGAACTAGAACTGAACTAGAACTGAACTAGAACTGAACTAGAAACTGAACTAGAACTGAACTAGAACTGAACTAGAAATGAACTAGAACTGAAACTAAGAACTGAACTAGAACTGAACTAGAACTGAACTAGAACTGAACTAGAACTGAACTAGAACTGAACTAGAACTGAACTAGAACTGAACTAGAACTGAACTAGAACTGAACTAGAACTGAACTAGAAACTGAACTAGAACTGAACTAGAACTGAACTAGAACTGAACTAGAACTGAACTAGAACTGAACTAGAACTGAACTAGAACTGAACTAGAACTGAACTAGAACTGAAACTAGAACTGAACTAGAACTGAACTAGAACTGAACTAGAACTGAACTAGAAACTGAACTAGAACTGAACTAGAACTGAACTAGAACTGAACTAGAACTGAACTAGAACTGAACTAGAACTGAACTAGACTAAACTAGAACTGAACTAGAACTGAACTAGAACTGAACTAGAACTGAACTAGAACTGAACTAGAACTGAACTAGAACTGAACTAGAACTGAACTATAACACAACTTGAACAGAAATGGAATCTAGTATTAGAACTGAACTGGGACAGAACTAGATCTGAAATAGATCTTTTATATGTAAGAGTTTACACTCCTATCAGAAGAAACTTTCTCAAAATCGATAGAAACAATAATTATAAAATATTAAAGCAATAAAAATTTAACAATTTTCAATAAATTTTTAAATATAATTTCTCTACACTTCATCAAAATTCAGGGCAGGTTAAAAAAACTTTCGACAAAAAAATCAAGATTTCCAAAAAGACCTTTTGATGAACAACAACTATAACTGTCAATAACCTACGAAAAACCCAAGATGTCTTGAGAGATAAACATAAACTGACAGAACATAAACAATAAGAAAGCAATAATAACAACAACAATTGTTCTTAACACTGACATATGTAAATAAAACGTAATGTTTTGTAAATAATAAAAAATGTGTAAAATTGTTTGTCTTTTTTTTACAAAAACAAAATATGTATAAGGTTTAGCACAGGATATATAAAATTACAGGATGGTAGTATGATAGAGCTAAAAATATTTATGAACTAAAGAAGAAGTAAAGGAAATTCTAAGAATAAAACAGTAGTATAAACAAAAATAATTTAACAGCTAAATAAATTTACTTAAAAAGTAGAGAATTGAATTTAAATTAAAGATACCTAAACAAACAAGCATTATTGAAAAAACGTCTAGAACTTGAACAGAACTAGAATAGAACTGGAACTGAACCCGAACTAGATCTGAACTAAAATAGAATTAGAACTGATCTGGAACTTAATAAGAACATGAACTGAACAAAATTTAAAGCAAAATATTGAAAACATTAAGGAAATTGTTAAGAGTTTAAGTAAAACCTATAAAGATTTCATGGAAAACTTACCTTCAAAGCCTAATTTCTGCTGTTTAGCTTCATGTTTCTTTAAAGCCAATTTAATAGCAGCCAATTCTGTTTCCTTAAGATTTGAGATCAAATCAAAAGCGCGTTCCTCGCATATCAATTGGGTACCGGCCAAAGGTAAACCCTCACGAGCGGCAGTAAATTTTGAATAATTTTGGGCGGGAATGACAGCACAAGAAGAAGGTGTTTTGTTTGTATGAGCATCGTCCTGTGTAGCAGGTGTATTTGCTAAATGGCAAGTTAAAGTTAATAACTTTTGTTGGGGTTGTTTATTTAATTCAAAACGGAGGCTTTGTTTTAACAAAGTTCGGCTAATTTGCCCGAAAACTTTTTGTGTATTATGCATATTGTATAAATTATTAATTTAAACACACTTGTTTTGATTTTTTTAGTAATTTGCCTAAATTTTAAAGACCTTCACTGTTGCTGCTTTTTTTGTTTTTTTATTAAACAAATTCATTAAATGACGTCACTAATATATTTGTTTTGACATTCGCTCTTTTTCTCTTTAATATTACTCTTAAAAATATAAATAAAACACTTTTTTTACTACAAAACGCGTTGTAATTGTTTATATTTTTTATAATTTAACTTCATGAACCGCTTTTCGTTCCTTAAATTCCGGAGTTTATTATCGTACTAAATTCTTGTCTAGTTAAAATGCGTCGTCAATGATGACTGCGTTTCGATTACGTAGATTGCTGTGTAGCAGCCAGCAGAGTTTTTGCTTACAAACTGGACAAATTTAACAAGTATATCGTAAAAGCTTTAGGTTTTTTTTATATTCTATTAACTTTTTTCGTAATTTCTAAGCTTTTTTCTTTAACTTAACTCTCATTGATAAAGAAATGTTAAAACTTCATACTCCGCCACTAATTTTCGTGTATATGTGGGTTAAATTCCAGATGATAACTAACAGTGTTGTTGTATGTTATAAGGCAAAATAACAAAGTCATTCAATAAATATGGCAGCTTTCTCGAGGGTTAACACAGCTAGCAGCTTTTGTATATAAGAGGTAAATCATATGAAAATGCTGTCTTTAGTTTTAATTTTTGGGTTTAAGTGAATGACCGTTAAAAATTGTGATTTAAATATAAATTTAATTAAAAACTGTATTTTTGATGTATTTGCTATGCTTATAGTAAAAAATTTTAGATTCTTATATAATGTTTTAGGTTGTTATTCATAAACTTTTATCAAAGCTTTATAAATCGAATTTTCATAAAAAATTTGTACTATAAACCTTTGATAAATTTTTATGAATAAGGCAGTTCTCATTCAGTTCTAGTTCAGTTCTAGTTTAATTCTAGTTCAGTTCAAGTTCAATTGTAGTTCAGTTCAAGTTCAGTTCTAGTTCAGTTTTACTTCAGTTCTAGTTCAGTTCTAGTTCAGTTCTAGTTCAGTTCTAGTTTAGTTCTAGTTCAGTTCTAGTTCAGTTCTAGTTCAGTTCTAGTTCATTTCTAGTTCAGTTCTAGTTCAGTTCTAGTTCAGTTCTAGTTCAGTTCGAGTTCAATTCTACTTCATTTCTAGTTCAGTTCTAGTTCAGTTCTAGTTCAGTTCTAGTTCAGTTCTAGTTCAGTTCTAGTTCAGTTCTAGTTCAGTTCTAGTTCAGTTCTAGTTCAGTTCTAGTTCAGTTCTAGTTCAGTTCTAGTTCAGTTCTAGTTCAGTTCTAGTTCAGTTCTAGTTCAGTTCTAGTTCAGTTCTAGTTCAGTTCTAGTTCAGTTCTAGTTCAGTTCTAGTTCAGTTCTAGTTCAGTTCTAGTTCAGTTCTAGTTCAGTTCTAGTTCGTTCTAGTTCAGTTCTAGTTCAGTCTAGTTCAGTTCTAGTTCAGTTCTAGTTCAGTTCTAGTTCAGTTCTAGTTCAGTTCTAGTCAGTTCTAGTTCAGTTCTAGTTCAGTTCTAGTTCAGTTCTAGTTCAGTTCTAGTTCAGTTCTAGTTCAGTTCTAGTTCAGTTCTAGTTCAGTTCTAGTTCAGTTCTAGTTCAGTTCTAGTTCAGTTCTAGTTCAGTTCTAGTTCAGTTCTAGTTCAGTTCTAGTTCAGTTCTAGTTCAGTTCTAGTTCAGTTCTAGTTCAGTTCTAGTTCAGTTCTAGTTCAGTTCTAGTTCAATTCTAGTTCAGTTCTAGTTCAGTTCTAGTTCAGTTCTAGTTCAGTTCTAGTTCAGTTCTAGTTCAGTTCTAGTCAGTTCTAGTTCAGTTCTAGTTCAGTTCTAGTTCAGTTCTAGTTCAGTTCTAGTTCAGTTCTAGTTCAGTTCTAGTTCAGTTCTAGTTCAGTTCTAGTTCAGTTCTAGTTCAGTTCTAGTTCAGTTCTAGTTCAGTTCTAGTTCAGTTCTAGTTCAGTTCTAGTTCAGTTCTAGTTCAGTTCTAGTTCAGTTCTAGTTCAGTTCTAGTTCAGTTCTAGTTCAGTTCTAGTTCAGTTCTAGTTCAGTTCTAGTTCAGTTCTAGTCAGTTCCTAGTTCAGTTCTAGTTCAGTTCGAGTTCAATTTCTACTTCATTTCTAGTTCAGTTCTAGTTCAGTTCTAGTTCAGTTCTAGTTCATTTCTAGTTCAGTTCTAGTTCAGTTCTAGTTCAGTTCAGTTCTGTCAGTTTCTAGTCAGTTCTAGTTCAGTTCTAGTTCAGTTCTAGTTCAGTTCTAGTTCAGTTCTAGTTCAGTTCTAGTTCAGTTCTAGTTCAGTTCTAGTTCAGTTCTAGTTCAGTTCTAGTTCAGTTCTAGTTTCGTTTAGTTCAGTTCTAGTTCAGTTCTAGTTCAGTTTAGTTCAGTTCTAGTTCAGTTCTAGTTCTAGTTCAGTTCTAGTTCAAATCTAGTTCATTCTAGTTCAGTTCTAGTTCAGTTTTAGTTCAGTTCTAGTTCAGTTCTAGTTCAGTTGTGTAAGTTCAGTTAGTCTAGTTCAGTTCTAGTTCAGTTCTAGTTCAGTTCTAGTTCAGTTCTAGTTTTCAGCTTCTAGTTCAGTGTGTCTAGTTCAGTGCTAGTTCAGTATAGTTCAGTTGTAGTTCAGTTCTAGTTCAGTTGTAGTTCAGTTCTAGTTCAGTTCTAGTTCAGTTCTAGTTCAGTTGTAGTTCAGTTCTAGTTCAGTTCTAGTTCAGTTCTAGTTCAGTTCTAGTTCAGTTCTAGTTGAGTTCTAGTTCAGTTCTAGTTCAGTTCAGTTCTAGTTCAGTTCTAGTTCAGTTCAGTTCTAGTTCAGTTCTAGTTCAGTTCTAGTTCAGTTCTAGTTCAGTTCTAGTTCAGTTCTAGTTCAGTTCTAGTTCAGTTCTAGTTCAGTTCTAGTTCAGTTCTAGTTCAGTTCTAGTTCAGTTCTAGTTCAGTTCTAGTTCAGTTCTAGTTCAGTTCTAGTTCAGTTCTAGTTCAGTTCTAGTTCAGTTCTAGTTCAGTTCTAGTTCAGTTCTAGTTCAGTTCTAGTTCAGTTCTAGTTCAGTTCTAGTTCAGTTCTAGTTCAGTTCTAGTTCAGTTCTAGTTCAGTTCTAGTTCAGTTCTAGTTCAGTTCTAGTTCAGTTCTAGTTCAGTTCTAGTTCAGTTCTAGTTCAGTTCTAGTTCAGTTCTAGTTCAGTTCTAGTTCAGTTCTAGTTCAGTTCTAGTTCAGTTCTAGTTCAGTTCTAATTCAGTTCTAGTTCAGTTCTAGTTCAGTTCTAATTCAGTTCTAGTTCAGTTCTAGTTCAGTTCTAGTTCAGTTCTAGTTCAGTTCTAGTTCAGTTCTAGTTCAGTTCTAGTTCAGTTCTAGTTCAGTTCTAGTTCTAGTTCAGTTCTAGTTCAGTTCTAGTTCAGTTCTAATTCAGTTCTAGTTCAGTTCTAGTTCAGTTCTAATTCAGTTCAGTTCTAGTTCTAGTTCAGTTCTAGTTCAGTTCTAGTTCAGTTCTAGTTCAGTTCTAGTTCTAGTTCAGTTCTAGTTCAGTTCTAGTTCAGTTCTAATTCAGTTCTAGTTCAGTTCTAGTTCAGTTCTAATTCAGTTCTAGTTCAGTTCTAGTTCAGTTCTAGTTCAGTTCTAGTCAGTCAGTTCTAGTTCAGTTCTAGTTCAGTTCTAGTCAGTTCTATGTTCAGTTCTAGTTCAGTTCTAGTTCAGTTCTAGTTCAGTAGTCTAGTTTCAGTTCTAGTTCAGTTCTAATTCAGTTCTAGTTCAGTTCTAGTTCAGTTTCTAGTTCAGTTCTAGTTCAGTTCTAGTTCAGTTCTAGTTCAGTTCTAGTTCAGTTCTAGTTCAGTTCTCGTCGTTCTAGTTCAGTTTCTAGTTCAGTTCTAGTTCAGTTCTAGTTCAGTTCTAGTTCAGTTTCTAGTTCAGTTCTAGTTCAGTTCTAGTCATTCTCGTTCAGTTCTAGTTCAGTTCTAGTTCAGTTCTAGTTCAGTTCTAGTTCAGTTCTAGTTCAGTTCTAGTTAGTTCTAGTTCCGTTCTAGTTCAGTTCTAGTTCAGTTCTAGTTCAGTTCTAGTTCAGTTTCTAGTTCAGTTCTAGTTCAGTCTAGTTCAGTTCTAGTCAGTTCTAGTTCAGTTCTAGGTTATCATTCAGTTCTAGTTCAGTTCAGTTCTAGTTCAGTTTAGTTCAGTTCTAGTTCAGTTCTAGTTCAGTTCTAGTTCAGTTCTAGTTCAGTTCTCCTAGTTCAGTTCTAGCTTCAGTTCTAGTTCAGTTCTATAGTTCAGTTCTAGTTCAGTTCTAATTCAGTTCTAGTTCAGTTCTGTTATAGGTTTGTTCTAGTTCAGTTTTAAACAATTTCCTCAATTTGTTTTAATTTTTTATTTAATTTTTTAATTTTATTTATTTAAAATCGTTTCGTTTTATGAACTATTTTTAAATTAAATCGTACAAATTTTCTTATATATCTCGCTTAAAATTCTTTACCGAATTTAACTTAAAATCTAAATTTATTAAAAAAAATTATAAAACAGAGTTATTTATCATATTTTTTTATATATTGGCACAATACTAAACTATTTTCTATTTCTATCTCCCTCCTTCTCTCATGTACAATCATTTGCCCTCTGTCCGGGAATTCCACGCAACTCTTGATTTAAAGTGCGCAACAAAGGATGTTTACCACAACCGCATCTGCCACGGAAATCGTCTAAATCTAAAGCCCAAACCATGCCACCACCTAAACGCATTTTCCGAACAAATTGCGATTTACGTCTTATATCATTGACATCATCATAGGAAACCCATTGATTGCCACTATAGGCATAGGGGCCAATTCTACCTTCCGGATCACGGATCACCGTCCAACCACCATTACTAATTTGTTCACAGATTTCATAGTAAGCTAAGAAACCTCCAGCTCTAGTAAAAGTACCAGCACGTCCGGGACCTACAGTTTTATCATTCAAACTGCGGGCATTGGTGTCCGCCAACGAGAAGCTCTGACCGTATAGAGGCATACCCATAACCAGTTTCTCGGGAGGCGTTCCCTTCTCTATCCAATAGTTTATACTGAAATTGCCGTTGAAATAAGGATTTTCATCACCTTCTACATAGTACAAGGGAGCCACGTGACCAGTTTGTTTATCCCAATGACCATGGAAATCATAAGTCATGACGGCAATCCAATCAAAGTAGCGTGCCAAAGTGGGTACTTCATAACCAGCATCGATGACCTTTTTACTAGGGGAAACAGCTGCTGATAGCAAAAGTCCTTTAGGTTTAAAGGCCGCCGAGAGTTCGCGTACCAAAGCAGCAAAGGCCGCCTTTTCAGCTGCTGAACCCTTGGAACAATCCACTTGCCAGCAAACCGGATATTCCCAATCAAGATCTAAACCTTCAAAACCATATTTCTCACAGAAAGCCAAAACACTTTCTATAAAACGTTTGCGGGCCAGCGGGTCCAATACCAAGCGAGCATATTTACTGCCCAAAGAATCATTCCAGCCACCTATGGCCACAGTAACACGTATGCCCTTCTTTTTATAGGCCACCACCCGTTCATAGAAACGGTTGTCAATATCGGCCCATGAATCATGGGTTTTAATGGTCAAGGCGTTACTATTCAAAACGGCAAAACCGTAGACTATGTGGGTGCAAAGGTTTTCATCTATGTCTTCTGGTACATATTTACCCTGACCCGGACGATACCAGGCCCAATTGGTGAAATAACATACGACCTTATATTGCTCATTCGAATTTAAAGGTGGTGAAGGTGTAGGTTTGGGCCGAGCCACCGGTTTTTTATGAGGAGATGTTATGGGTTTCTTGGTAGTTTTAGATGGGGCCTTTGTGGTCGCCACAGGTTTAGTGGGCTTAGGTCTGGGCGCCACCGGACGTTGGGTAGTTTGATCATCTCTTACCATGCACTTGACGGCCTGAGGCCAATCGCAATGATTTTCATTCCAATACAGACCGGCGGGACATCTGTGAGGAAAAGTAATTTTAGTTAAAATTTTTTTTTGAAAAATTTTTATTAAACTTACTTTTGTTCCACTAGTTCTCCATATTGACATATGTAGTATTTGTTGCAGTCTCTCTCATGAGGAGCATAATTTCTACCCAAGCATTCTTTTATTACTGGACCCAGAGTAGGTTTTGTGGGTTTGGCTTGCATTTGTTGTGATTGCACCTGGGTTTGCGAGGTAGGTTTTGGTTTGACGGCCTGTGTCGAGGGTTTGGATGCGGAACCAGCAACTGTAAGAGAATAAAAAAGATATATCAGTTATAGTTAAGTTTTTGTTCAGTTCTAGTTCAGTTCTAGTTCACTTATAGTTCAGTTCTAGTTCAGTTCTAGTTCAGTTCTAGTTCAGTTCTAGTTCAGTTCTAGTTCAGTTCTAGTTCAGTTCTAGTTCAGTTCTAGTTCAGTTCTAGTTCAGTTCTAGTTCAGTTCTAGTTCAGTTCTAGTTCAGTTCTAGTTCAGTTCTAGTTCAGTTCTAGTTCAGTTCTAGTTCAGTTCAGTTCTAGTTCAGTTCTAGTTCAGTTCTAGTTCAGTTCTAGTTCTAGTTCAGTTCTAGTTCAGTTCTAGTTCAGTTCTAGTTCAGTTCTAGTTCAGTTCTAGTTCAGTTCTAGTTCAGTTCTAGTTCAGTTTAAGTTCAGTTTTAGTTCAGTCCTAGTTCAGTTCTAGTTCATTTCTAGTTCAGTTCTAGTTCAGTTCTAGTTCAGTTCTAGTTCAGTTCTAGTTCAGTTCTAGTTCAGTTCTAGTTCAGTTCTAGTTCAGTTCTAATTCAGTTCTAGTTCATTTCTAGTTCAGTTCTAGTTCAGTTCTAGTTCAGTTCTAGTTCAGTTCTAGTTCAGTTCTAGTTCAGTTCTAGTTCAGTTCTAGTTCAGTTCTAGTTCAGTTCTAGTTCAGTTCTAGTTCAGTTCTAGTTCAGTTCTAGTTCAGTTCTAGTTCAGTTCTAGTTCAGTTCTAGTTCAGTTCTAGTTCAGTTCTAGTTCAATTCTAGTTCAGTTCTAGTTCAGTTCTAGTTCAGTTCTAGTTCAGTTCTAGTTCAGTTCTAGTTCAGTTCTAGTTCAGTTCTAGTTCAGTTCTAGTTCAGTTCTAGTTCAGTTCTCAGTTTAAGTTCAGTTTAGTTCAGTTTAGTTCAGTTCTAGTTCAGTTCTAGTTCAGTTCTAGTTCAGTTCTAGTTCAGTTCTAGTTCAGTTCTAGTTTCAGTTCTAGTTCAGTTCTAGTTCAGTTCTAGTTCAGTTCTAGTTCAGTTCTAGTTCAGTTCTAGTTCAGTTCTAGTTCAGTTCTAGTTCAGTTCTAGTTCAGTTCTAGTTCAGTTCTAGTTCAGTTCTAGTTCAGTTCTAGTTCAGTTCTAGTTCAGTTCTAGTTCAGTTCTAGTTCAGTTCTAGTTCAGTTCTAGTTCAGTTCTAGTTCAGTTCTAGTTCAGTTCTAGTTCAGTTCTAGTTCAGTTCTAGTTCAGTTCTAGTTCAGTTCTAGTTCAGTTCTAGTTCAGTTCTAGTTCAGTTCTAGTTCAGTTCTAGTTCAGTTCTAGTTCAGTTCTAGTTCAGTTCTAGTTCAGTTCTAGTTCAGTTCTAGTTCAGTTCTAGTTCAGTTCTAGTTCAGTTCTAGTTCAGTTCTAGTTCAGTTCTAGTTCAGTTCTAGTTCAGTTCTAGTTCAGTTCTAGTTCAGTTCTAGTTCAGTTCTAGTTCAGTTCTAGTTCAGTTCTAGTTCAGTTCTAGTTCAGTTCTAGTTCAGTTCTAGTTCAGTTCTAGTTCAGTTCTAGTTCAGTTCTAGTTCAGTTCTAGTTCAGTTCTAGTTCAGTTCTAGTTCAGTTCTAGTTCAGTTCTAGTTCAGTTCTAGTTCAGTTCTAGTTCAGTTCTAGTTCAGTTCTAGTTCAGTTCTAGTTCAGTTCTAGTTCAGTTCTAGTTCAGTTCTAGTTCAGTTCTAGTTCAGTTCTAGTTCAGTTCTAGTTCAGTTCGTTCAGTTCTAGTTTAGTTCTAGTTCAGTTCTAGTTCAGTTCTAGTTCAGTTCTAGTTCAGTTCTAGTTCAGTTCTAGTTCAGTTCTAGTTCAGTTCTAGTTCAGTTCTAGTTCAGTTCTAGTTCAGTTCTAGTTCAGTTCTAGTTCAGTTCTAGTTCAGTTCTAGTTCAGTTAGTCAGTTCTAGTTCAGTCTAGTCAGTTCTAGTTCAGTTCTAGTTCAGTTCTAGTTCAGTTCTAGTTCAGTTCTAGTTCAGTTCTAGTTCAGTTCTAGTTCTAATGCTGTTCTAGTTTAGTCCTATTATGTTATCTACTTACTCATCAATCTATCTTTTGTCTCCAACGTGCATTTTGGATGCGGTCCTGGATAGTTTCTCAAGACCCTATTAATAGTTTTCAACAAAGGATACGATTCACAATTGCAATCATTTTTGAAATCATCTAAATCTAAAGCCCATATCATGGCACCACCCAAACCCATGGCCTTAACATATTCCGATTTATGGCGTATCATGGGGGCATCATCGAACGAGACCCATTGATCACGTAAGTAGGCATAGGGACCCATACGTCCACGTGGATCTCTTACCACATTCCAGCCTTTGTTGCGTATATAAGAACAAATTTCATAATAGGACAGGAAACCTCTTGCCCTAGTGGCCTCTCCTGCCTCACCACCACCATAAGTTGGTGCATTAAGATCATGATTTTTAGCCTCCGCCAAGGAGAAAGATTGACCATACATAGGCATGCCCATAATCAGTTTACTACGATCGGCTCCCTTTTGCAACCAATAGTTAATCGAGAAATTGGCATTGAAACCTTCGGTACCTTCAGGATGATCATACATGGGTGCCACATGACCCGTTTTCTTATCCCATTGACCATGATAATCATAAGCCATAACAGCAATCCAATCGAAATATTTCGTTAGCTGTGGAACATCATAACCGGCATCCACCACCTTTTGATTGGGTGAAACAGCGGCCGATAACAGTAAACCTTTAGGCTTAAAGGCCTCCGCCAGTTCCTTAACAAAATCTGAGAAACCTTGCTTTTCATCGGCAGTACCCTTTTTGCAATCTACTTGCCAGCATACTGGATACTCCCAATCCAAGTCTAAACCATCGAAACCATACTTTTCTATAAACTCCATAACATGACGTATAAATTTGGCCCTAGACGCCGAACTTCTTACTAAGCGGGCATATTTATCACCCGCTGAATCATTCCAGCCTCCTATGGCCACGGTAACTTTAGTGCCCTTTTTACGATAGGCTGCCACACGCTCATAGAATTTATTATCCAAATCGGCCCAAGAATCATGGGGTTGTATGGTCAATGTTTGACGATTCAAAACAGCAAAACCATAAACTATATGAGTACAGAGTTGGTCGTCTATATCCTCGGGTAGGAATTTGCCACCACCCTGACGATACCAAGCCCAATTGGTGAAATAGCAGACAACCTTAAAGTCTTGATTAGAGGTAGAACCCTCTTCCAATTCCTGTTCCGTGGCCACAATTTCCACCTCAGTTTCCTCTACATCATCATTGGGATCTTTAATAGTTTCGCTGGAAACGGACCCAGGACCAGTTTCTATCTCCATGGGATAAACTATCTCCTGGGAGTTTACTACTTCCTCTACAGATTCTGGTTCAGAAGCTGGAGTCAAACCCGCTAGAATTAAAAGAAAGTTAAACAAAATTCCTTTTACACCAAGTTTCCAAAACTAACGTGTTGTTTCATGGTCCGTGGGTGGATCCTTTAAGACATCATGTATTTGCGTGAGCAGAGGATGTACGCCCTCACCACAACGATTACGGAAGTCATCCAAATCCAAAGCCCAAACCATGCCACCACCCAAATCAAGAGCTCTAACCAATTGTGATTTTTTGCGTATCATGGCTTTGTCATCATAGGAAACCCATTGATTGCCTTTGCGCGCATACGGACCCATGCGTCCCCGTTCGTCTTGTATCACCTCCCAGCCTTGATGTTTAACACGATCACAGATCTTTAAGAGAGTTATAATAAAAATAATACTTTCTTTTTTGGATATAAATTAAAACTTACTTCGTAGTACGCTAGAAAACCAGCTGCTCGGGTAAATTCTCCAGCTTTACCGGGACCAGGAGCCTTGGCGTTCAGGCCATTATTGCGGGTATTTTCCAAGGTAAACGACTGACCATATAAAGGCATACCCATAACTATCTTACGTGAGGGGGCGCCCTTTTCTATCCAATAATTCAAAGAATAGTTCTAAAGAAATCGAAAGAAATATTTGAAATCCTTTTCAAAAATTAACAACAAAGTCCAACTTACCGCATTGAAATAATCATAATCATCCTCAGGATGATAATACAAAGGAGCCACGTGACCCGTTTTTTTATCCCATTGGCCATGGAAATCATAGGTCATAACAGCTATCCAATCGAAATATTTCGACAATTCCGGAACATCATAACCCGCATCAATGATTTTCTTGCTAGGCGAAACAGCGGTAGATAATAATAATCCTAGCGGTTTATAAGCCTCCGAAAGTTCCCGCACTAAGGCGGTAAAACCTTCCTTTTCATCGGGCATACCCTTTTTACAATCGGTTTGCCAACACACCGGATACTCCCAATCCAAATCCAAACCCTCAAAACCATATTTCTGCAAAAACTCCAAGGAATGTTTTATAAAGCGTGCTCTGGCCTGGGGACTGCGTACCAGACGACTGTATTTATCGCCCTGCGAATCATTCCAACCACCCAAAGCCAAACTAACCTTGACACCCTTACTCTTTAGACCACTAACTCTGGTATAGAAATTATTATCTATATCTGCCCAGGAATCGTGGGTGCGCAAAATCAATTCGGAATAATCTAATACAGCAAAACCATAGACCACATGAGTACACAGATCGGTGTTAATATCATCGGGAGTATAACGTCCTAAACCCTTGCGATACCAGGCCCAATTGGTGAAATAGCACACCACCTTGTAATAACCATCTAAAGGTTGCAACGATGGTTTATCGGTGGGATAAGTAGGTCTCATGGAGGTAGTAGAGGGTCTGGCCGTAGTGGGTGCTGGTTTGGGTTTGACCGGATTAATTTCATTAGTGTCTCCTCCCGCCGAGTCACTGCTGCATTTAGCCGTATTGGGCCAATCACATTGTCCTGTGGCTGCGTTAAAATGTAAACCAGGACCACAGTCGGCGGCCTGTAAACGATTCCATAAACAGAACAGATATTTAGAACAATCTCCCGGATAGGGTACCCTTTCTTCGCCATTACAGGGATCCTCTGGATTGGCTTTAGATTGCACAATTCTTAAATACTTTTGGGTGGTAACACACTTGACATTTTCGGGCCAATCACAGATTTTCTTAACACCATCCCAATGTAAATTACCGCCACAGGAATTGGGCACTAAGACGCCATTAACACAGATATAATATTGGCCACAGTTGCGGTGGGTATAGTACTCTCCCTCATTACATTTGGCACTCATGGCGGGACGTTGAGGTTTAGGTTTGGGTGAAGGTTTACGTGTAGTGGCTATGGGTTTAGAGGGTCTTGAGCTAGACCAATAGGTGGCCGTAGTGGTGGTGGTACGTTTAGGGGGTGCTTGTGTGGTTCTACGAGTGGTAGTGGTGGTAGTTTTGACAGGAGCTTTAGTTGTGTTACTAGTAGAAGAGGGCTTCTTTTTCACCTTACATTTCGCCGAGGCTGGCCAATCACAATTCTTATCGCCATCATTCCAATGCAGACCTCCTGGACAAAACTGTTGTCTAATTTCTCCCGGAACTATACATTGATAGTAAGCATTACAATTGTAAGGATCGGGATAAAATTCGCCAGATTTACAATTAGAGGCCTGGACCACAGGTCTTACTACGGCGGGTGCTGGTATGGTGGTGGGTTTTTGGGTAGCTGCAGGACGTTTGCTGGTGGTAGTAGGTCTGCGTGTTGTAGTGGTGGTGGTACTAGAGGGTGGCGACCACCATATGGTGGAAGTTTTGGGAGTGGTAGAGGTGGTAGACGATGACTGCCAAGCTGGATTGGCGGTGGTATGTTCATGGTGTAGACCACCTCCTGAGGAACCATCACTACTAACCGTTGTCATTACGGGAGGTATGGGTGTAACTGGAGCCGGTGGTTTGGCACAGTTGGCCCGCGTAGGCGGTTCACTATTCTCACGCCCTAAAGCCCGATTAATAGCCATGAGTAGGGGGAACGCTTCACTGCAGCAACGATTTTGGAAGTCATCCAAATCCACAGTCCAGGCAGAAACTCCACCAAAACCAGCATTAACTGCATAACGTGCCTTAGCCTCCACGGAGGCAGGATCCTCATAACCCACCCATTGATTGCGGAACATGGCATAAGGGCCGGATTTGCGTTCTGTATCACGTCCTACCAACCATTTCTGTTTGCGTATACGCTGGCAAATTTCATAGTAAGCCAACATGCCTGGTTGTTTAGTAAATTCTCCCGCATCTCCAGGACCTATGGCTGCAGTAGCCTCACCCACCAATTGCTGGCTATCGCGTTCCAATGTAAAAGATTGTCCATAGAAAGGTATGCCCATTATTAAACGCTCCTTTTTGGCGCCCAATTTCAACAGCAATTGCATGGTATAGTCAGTATTATACTGAGGATATTTATCGCCCTTACGACCATATAATGGACTCACATGACCGGTTTGTTTCTCCCAAGCTCCATGATAATCATAAGACATTACCGTCATATAATCTACTATTTTCGATAGTTCCGGGAATTCATAGGCTTCATTTATAATCTCTTTATAACCGGATATGGCCACGCCCAGTTTTAGTTTCTTATCTACTCTCTCAAATTCAGAACGTATTTCACGTAATAATTTCGTCAAATTGGGCTTATCACTGGCGGGTCCTTTAGAACAATCACTTTGCCAACATTTAGGATAATTCCAATCTAAATGCAAACCAGAGAAACCATGGCGCTGCAGGAAACCCACTAAATTGGAGGCGAAAACTTTACGCTTAATATCATCCTTAGCCAAACGGGAATATTTATCGCCAAACGAATCCGTCCAACCACCCATGGCTATTAGCACGGGTATGCCAGTTTCCACCACACGTTTGTAATATTGATTATCTATATCCACCCAGGGATCAAATTCCTTGATATTTAAATGATCCGGATCCAAGGAGGCAAACGAATAGATAAGTTTAGTGCATAATTTTTTATTTTTCAAATATTCGGGCACAAACTGGCCATCAGCCTTGCGATAGAAAGCCCAATTGGTGATATAACATAAGACCTCGGGTGAGTTATTGAAATTTTTGCGTGGCGGTTTGCTGTCTTTAATCTGCGCTAAAGCGCCATAAGGTCTAGTATCCTCTAAGTCCTCGACATCATCGGCACTTTCTTGCCCTTCTTGGGAACGTACATAGGACAAGGCACCATAGGCCGTAAGTTTATCTCTAACCTGAGCAACATCTTCTACAGATTCATGATCGATTTGCGAGACCTCTGATGTCTTAACGAGTTGCTGATAGGGTGAGTCTGATCTAAAAGGTTCTGGCAGCAGCTCTACCTCATCATTATTCTTATTGGGTATTATATAGGCTGCATATTTATCGGAAACCGACCAGGCATCTGGTTGCTGGAATGTCTCCACTTCGGCATCAGTTTCAGGTTCCGGTTCTGGTTCTGGTTCTTCTAAGTCTAACTTTTCAGGCATAGCCTCTGCCACCAAAGAGTCTCTTATGCTAGCAGAATATTCCTCCTCTTCTATATACTCATCATCTTCATCTTCTGGAAAGGCTTCCACTGCATCTCTTACGAAATGTCTCAAAGAAGAAGATTCTTTCAATTCCGCTATCGATCTAGTACTAATAGTGGGTACACTTTCCACAGCACTACGTAAAGGTAAAAATACTTCACCAAAAGTAGGAGCCATACTTAAACGACTTAAGGGTTCCAAAGACTCATCTTCAGGTATGCTTTCTATGGCCGAGCGTACAAAAGCAGGTTTGTATATAGGTTTATAATGCTCCTCGGGAGACTCCAAACGTATGTGGGCATTAGTAAGCAGAAAAGAGTAGTTGAACTAGAAAGAAAACGAGTGTTATTTCTAAAAAGATCTTCCGAGAGTTAATTTATTAAAACTTACCAGCAGTATTACCGCTATAAAACCTCTAAATTCTCTCATGTTTAAGAGATGTTTAGAGGTGCGTAACTTTTTCTCTTATGTTAATTTATGATCGTTATTAATCCCTTATGCTATTATTGTTGTTGTTGGCTTTAATGATTAAAAAATAATATATTTTTATTAATTTATTTATAGATCATTCAGTTTTTACTCGTAAAACAATTTATCATTATGTGTTTTTTTGTTTGTTTTTGCAATTACTATGAATAATTCTTTACTTTTATAAGGAATGGCTTCATTATATGAATATTAATGATCATTTTTTTCACCGATGTTATAGAGTATATGAAGCTGACGAATTAGGAAGTTAATAAAAAAGTTTTACTTTTGTTTTTTAAGTAATTAAGGTTAATGTAATCTTTGTTTGTGTGCGGGGGGAGACAAAGAATAAGAAAGAGAGTGAGAGAGTTTTTAAAAGAGAGTACTCTATTGTCAAGATTATATACTAATATATAGTCAAGACTATAAATTGATATGGTGACAGGGATATAGACCGGTCTATGGTCCAAGCTAGCGACTAATCTTGACTATAGATCAGTCTATAGCTTGAATTCCAAACCAAAGAATTATTCACAGTCAAGACTATTCTATAGTCTCTATACTCAAGACTATAAAGCGATCAATAGATATGACTATAGAATGATATATAATCAAGACTATGCAATAATATATTGACAAGAACATAGACTGATCCATTATCTATACTAGTAACCCTATTTTGGTTTCAATCTTTTTATATAGTCACACTTTAACTTTAATCGCACCTCCTACTGAATTAGAACTGAACTAGATCTGAACTAGATCTGACTAGAACTGAATTACGACTGACTAGAACTGAACTAGACGACTAGAACTGACGAGAACTGAACTAGAACTGAACTAGAACTGAACGAGAACTGAACTAGAACTGAACTAGAACTGAACTAGAACTGAACTAGAACTGAACTAGAACTGAACTAGAACTGAACTAGAACTGAACTAGAACGAACTAGAACTGGAACTAAAGAACTGAACTAGAACTGAACTAGAACTGAACTAGAACTGAACTAGAACTGAACTAGAACTGAACTAGAACTGAACTAGAACTGAACTAGACTGAACTAGAACTGAACTAGAACTGAACTAGAACTGAACTAGAACTGAACTAGAACTGAACTAGAACTGAACTAGAACTGAACTAGAACTGAACTTGAACTGAACTAGAGCTGAACTAGAACTGAACTAGAACTGAACTAGAACTGAACTAGAACTGAAATAGAACTGAACTAGAACTGAACTAGAACTGAACTAGAACTGAACTAGAACTGAACTAGAACTGAACTAGAACTGAACTAGAACTGAACTAGAACTGAACTAGAACTGAACTAGAACTGAACTAGAACTGAACTAGAACTGAACTAGAACTGAACTAGAACTGAACTAGAACTGAACTAGAACTGAACTAGAACTGAACTAGAACTGAACTAGAACTGAACTAGAACTGAACTAGAACTGAACTAGAACTGAACTAGAACTGAACTAGAACTGAACTAGAACTGAACTAGAACTGACTAGAACTGAACTAGAACTGAACTAGAACTGAACTAGAACTGAACTAGAACTGAACTAGAACTGAACTAGAACTGAACTAGAACTGAACTAGAACTGAACTAGAACTGAACTAGAACTAGAACTGAACTAGAACTGAACTAGAACTGAACTAGAACTGAACTAGAACTGAACTAGAACTGAACTAGAACTGACTAGAACTGAACTAGAACTGAACTAGAACTGAACTAGAACTGAACTAGAACTGAACTAGAACTGAACTAGAACTGAACTAGAACTGAACTAGAACTGAACTAGAACTGAACTAGAACTGAACTAGAACTGAACTAGAACTGAACTAGAACTGAACTAGAACTGAACTAGAACTGAACTAGAACTGAACTAGAACTGAACTAGAACTGAACTAGAACTGAACTAGAACTGAACTAGAACTGAACTAGAACTGAACTAGAACTGAACTAGAACTGAACTAGAACTGAACTAGAACTGAACTAGAACTGAACTAGAACTGAACTAGAACTGAACTAGAACTGAACTAGAACTGAACTAGAACTAGAACTCAACTAGAACTGAACTAGAACTGAACTAGAACTGAACTAGAACTAGAACTCAACTAGAACTGAACTAGAACTGAACTAGAACTGAACTAGAACTGAACTAGAACTGAACTAGAACTGAACTAGAACTGAACTAGAACTGAACTAGAACTGAACTAGAACTGAACTAGAACTGAACTAGAACTGAACTAGAACTGAACTAGAACTGAACTAGAACTGAACTAGAACTGAACTAGAACTGAACTGGAACTGAACTAGAACTGAACTACGTTAGAACACTTAACGTAGTTATTTTGAATTTTAGGTTTGTTTATACTCTCTCTCTTTCTTTCACTCTTACTCTCACTTCAAAGCTGCCACATGTTAGTTACATATTAACAATATTGGCAGCTCGTTTATGTTTAAAGAGAATATTAAAAAACGGAAATAAACTCTTTCCAAATAACTCTTTTTTTAATGTTTTATGATTTTACGATTTTTTGAAAGTTTGCCAAACTAATTCAAGTGTCCAAACAAAAATTTATTCAAAAATAATTAAAAAACTCATTGAAAAAACTAAACCAGACTTCCGCTTATAGTTCGTTTTATCAGAAATATTGATTAACGTGTAAAAATTACAATAATTTTTTGGTTTATTCTTGAGTTTTCTTAATTATAAAAAAAAACTTCTACTATAAAATAAATAAAGTTCTTAACATAAAATTTGTTTTTTAAATAAAAAACAAAAACAATCAAAAAAACTGGCACAACATTTATAAAATTGAAAATAAAAAACGCTTAAAAATTTAAGGTGAAATTAAAAATTCTCAACACGTTTAAAAGGTTACTAAACAGACAGAAATGAGAAGAGTTTGACAAAAAAATCAAACAGAAATAATAAAATAAACTTTACACAAAATGGAAAAAAAATATTGCAAAGACAACAAGAATTTTTAAACTGATTTAATTTTATAAGAAAAACAAAGACCCTAAATGGAGTTAAAGAATTTTGTGCAAAAACAAATATGAAGAATATTTGAAAAATTGCCAATTTAGTAAAAAAAACTATAACAAATAAACAATTTCTTGGAAAATTTCCAAATTCATAAAAATTCTAACAAATTTAGTTTAATGCCATTAAAGCTTATACCCCATTTACACATACACGAAATCTAGTACTTATGAGATTTCGAGCCAAATCTACTTGATTTTAACTAGATTTCCCATACAAAACAAAATCTACTTCGTAACTAGATTTCGTTAAAATCTACTCAAAATCTAATAGTTTTTAGTGATGCAACTCTGTTTTTTCCTAAATAATACTAAAAAATACGACACTACACAAGAAAAAAGAGGAAAACAAAACAAACAAAAAAAATTAAAATGTCGACAAAATTTTTATAAATTGAAAAACATGAATGAAAAGTTAAACTAAAATAAAAGGTAATGTTATATTTAAATATCTATTTTTTATTTTAAATGGAATTTTGATAAATATCCCATTTTTCCTTCTTATTTTTCATATCACACACTTTTTCAAGAAATATTAGAAAAAATGAAATCTTCTTAAATGTCAAGAATAGTAAGTGTAAACGGACTAGATTTGGAAAAAGATTTTAAATGAAATCTACTAGATTTCGTGTATGTGTAAATGGGGTATTAAACAAAGTAAAAACTATTAAACTAAAAACTTTATTGTTTATAACAAAATACTTTTTTCAAAAATTTATTACAAAGAATCAGAATTTTAAACAGTTTTATCATCATCTACACTAAAACCTTTTGTTTCTAATAACTTTATTTTCCAGGAAGTAAATATCGAATATTTTATAACTCAATAATCATCCATCAATTCCTCCTTCAAAACAAAATACCAGGAATTGTTTAAGAATTATAACAGTTTTGTTTTCATTCCTTATAAGTCATAATAATAAAGTGACAATAATTGTATTGTATTAATCACTACAACTGTGTGACTCTTCTCCTCTTATCTTTTGTTTATGAAATTAACATTTTTTATCATAATATTTGTTTAAATATTTTTTTGCAAAAAAACAATTTACGCACGTGTCAGTTATAAATAAAAACAAATAAATATTACAAATAAAAATACTTTTAACTTGTTTCAGATTAATTTTATATTTGTTTAAGTGCAACATGATAAATTTAATTTATTAACTAAATGTTGGAATGTTAGAATTTGCAAGTATGGCAGCTTTAGCTAATATATGATTTGACATAAAACAGTGATGCCAAATATGGTATTTCTAATGTTTTTCTAAATCTATCAGAGCAGATATTTGAACAGCTTAGAACTAAACTAGAATTGAACTAGACCTTAACTAGAACTACATTAGAAATAAACTAGAATTGAACTAGAACTAAATTAGAACTGAATTAGAACTGAACTAGAACTGAACTAGAACTGAACTAGAACTAAACTAGAACTAAACTAGAACTGAACTAGAACTGAAGTAGAACTGAACTAGAACTGAAGTAGAACTGAACTAGAACTGAACTAGAACTGAACTAGAACTGAACTAGAACTGAACGAGAACTGAACTAGAACTGAACTAGAACTGAACTAGAACTGAACTAGAACTGAACTAAAACTGAACTAGAACTGAACTAGAACTGAACTAGAACTAGAACTGAACTAGAACTGAACTAGAACTGAACTAGAAGTGAACTAGAACTGAACTTGAACTGAACTAGAACTGAACTAGAACTCAACTTGAACTGAACTAGAACTGAACTAGAACTTAACTACAACTGAACTAGAACTGAACTAGAACTGAACTAGAACTGAACTAGAACTGAATTAGAACTGAACTAGAACTGAATTAGAACTGAACTAGAACTGAACTAGAACTGAACTAGAACTGAACTAGAACTGAACTAGAACTGAACTAGAACTGAACTAGAACTGAACTAGAACTGAACTAGAACTGAACTAGAACTGAACTAGAGAACTAGAATTGAATTAGAACTGAATTAGAACTGAAC